CTACGCTGACGCCACGGCACTCACTCTAGCCTGAGAGACAGATTGAGACTGTGTCTCCAAAAAAAAAAAAAAAAAAAGAAGAAGAAGAAGAAGAGGAAGCTTAAGATTGGCAAGGAGTCCTCTCACTCTCTCAAGTATAGGTTATTTTTCAAAGCATGGAAACTGGATGTAATTCTGAACCTCACCCTACCAATATCTACACAGAGACTACAGAATTCCTGGTAATCTTAAAAGATAAAATGAGATGACCCCTAGAAATCAATAAACTGAGAACAACGGCACCATGGCAAAAAATTTTGTGAATTGTTGAAATTATCCTGACATGACTCTACCTTACTCCATGACACAGGGACAGCTGTGGTCAATTTTATCATCAGATACGGAGAATTCCATTTAATAAATGGAAACATTTTTTAAAATCTCAATTATGTAAAATTAGGCAGTGTTTGACACAGTGAACATTCATTAAATTAGTATGACTATATCATCATTTTTATTATTTACTAAAAACCTAGTATAGATTCTATTTCAATTCACTATATAAATAACTGAACTAAAATCTTCCAATACAATGATTATGATGAGCATATTAGCATGAATACTAAGAACTTTGCTTTTTAAAAAATCAGAATACTAGCACTAATTTCCCCACACAATTATGTAAATTTTTGAACATCATGTTTTAATCTATATAGTGTTATTATTAATATATGTATTATAGATCAGCTCGCTTAATTCTAGAAACTCCCACTTATAATTTATGAGAGAATTTCCCCATTTCTCCCGCTTTTGTAATTTTATAAAATTAGTTTTCTTTTACTCTTTCCATTGATGGGGTGCAGGAAATGCTACTTTGGTGTCTTAGACTGTGCTCCTATAACAAAATACCTTAGACTGGGCAATTTTTAAATAGGAATTTCTTTCTACAGTTCTGCAGGTTGGGAAGCCCAAGGTCAACGAGCGAGCAAAATTTGGTGTCTGGCGAGTATTTGTGCCTTCCTGCTGTGTCCTCACATGGGCAAAAGAGGGGCAAAAAAGCAAAAGGAAGGTCAAACTTTCTCTCTCAAACCCTCTTACAAAGGCACTAATCTCACCCATGAGGGCAGAGCCCTTGTGGCCTAATCACCTCCTGATGGTCCCACTTCTTAACACTGTTATATTGGGGATTAAGTTTCAACATGAATTTTGGAGGAGACACGAACATACACAGTAATTGGCATACTGAGCATTTTAAGTTGAAGGAAATTGAGGTAAAACACAGAAGCAGGAAGGTCTCTCTGACCTTCTCCTGCCCCCTCTCTTCTGAAGCAGGCCATAGAAACTAGAGTTCCCCTTCCCCCTTCTTCCCTGAAGCAGGCCATAAAACCTGGGAAGGTAATACTCTGGCCTTCCTTTTCCCTCCTCCTCTGAAGACCTTTATGTGACAGGTGTTCTTCCCTATTCCCAGAGGAAAGCAATGTCATATAGGGGCCAGAAGAATCTTAACAAACAGGGCTTGCTAAGTTCCCCGCAGTTGCTTACCATTAGATCACACCCTTTTGTCCTCCCATCATTCTTCTGAACAACTGTCCATAAAAATACACAGTTTTTCCATGTCTTTGGTTTTCATTTATAAAGGTTCCCATGTCATGTATTAATAAAACTCATATTAAATAAATTTGTACGCTTTTCTCTCATTAATCTTTTATTATAGGGTATCAGCCATGAACCTTGTGACGGGTGAGGAAAGAAATCTTTTCTCCCCTATACCAATTAATTTTTTCTGAGTCAGAACAAGCAACCAATTTGGGTAGAGAAAGACACAGAAGTGATGAATTTCCTCTTAATACCAGTGGTTTCAGGAGGCTGGAAATAGCGTTGGCCACTCCAGGAGAAGTTTTATTCCTTTGGGTTTCGTGGCCAATTTTTTTTGACATTTACTTTAAAAGCTGTGGATCCTCCCTCCTAAAACTAATTATACTTTACAGGTATGCTCTAAAAAAGTGTTTCAATGTTACTCAAGTTCCCGAGATTTATATGAAGAAAATTTTTATAACTACAAGCACAGCCTACCACTGTTTGACAATTTCCTTTTTGAAGTGCTAAGTAAAAGGCTTGGAGATCTCCATTGTCTCTAGCTACAATATTCCGTGATTTGACACATATTTACTGGGTGCCTATATTGTGTTAGGTAGTGGGCACTGTGATGGGCATATCGTAATTAACAAACCAGGCGTGATCTCTGCCATGGGGACAGCAAGACAGAGAGCATGTAAATGCCAGACTCTCAGCAGCCTGAGGTCAAGTTTTCTGTCTTATGCACTGCTGTAATTTTCTGGACCCGGCAATGCCTAGCATATTGTAAGTGTTCAATCAAAATTGTGAAAGAGTACAGGTGAACATATGGTGTTACAGGACATAGCCCAACCTGGAGATTTGTTGAAGATCCAATCTGCATATTCAGGTGTCCTGTGGTCACCACGCCATTGCTGCTAACTATAGCACTGTTGCTGCTCTGAACGCACGGAGGCATGGGAGTGCTATTCAGTTTCTGAACTCACAGTCCTTATAGAGAGATTATTGTTTAAGTAGGTAAGGTTACTTTCAAGGGAAACTACTGCCATATTTGTACACCTAGTCATTCAATTTAAAGGGCCAGTGACCTGAAGCAAAACACTTTATTGGCAGGGGATAGAAATATTGGAAAGATCATCCAGAACAAAGAATCCTATAGTAGAAATGGGACTCTGGCTCTAATTTTAAAACAGGATCAAGTATCCCACAATAAAATAGCCTTTCTTTTTGAATTGCCAGAAGGGTAGAAAAATATCAAGTAGGCACCAGAACAAACATAACATATATACATATGATAATTATGCATTTTGTTTGTCTCTTTCTAGAAGATGAAAACTCTCAATGGGTAACCAAGGAGTCTTCCAAAGCAAGAATAATTTTAGCATTGTAATCCATTAATTCATAGTTCTTAACTAATTCAACTCAATATTCTAACTTTTTCTCTGAAATAAATTGCTGTATTTTTATTTTTCAAAAAATATGATATGCAAAGTACCAGCCCCACACATTTTAATATTGTTTTCAATCCCCTTGTGGACAAACAGTCACACTTTAGTGCCACTTAAACGAAGAATAACCGTTCATCTGTAACATACAGATACAAAAGGCTCTGGATTTTCATTTTAAAGTGCTTAATTACCTGCATAAAGAGAGAAATAAAACAAGGAGCCCAGGCCAAGTTCATGAGGGTTTGAAATTACTTTTCTTTTTCTAAATGAGCAACAAAGACTCAATAGTGCAAGCTGTTGTGTGGCCACCAGCCAACTGTAGAAGAAAATATTCAAAAGAACAAGGGGATCATGAATTAAATTCAAATATGTGAGGCAAGAACCCAAATCAAAAGGTGGAAGAAGAAGATGGTGTTTCCAGCCACAGAACAATATAATATATTTGAAAAAAAATCTAATCAGCAATAAAATGAAACCTTCACGTTTAAGTATCCCAGTGTGGCTGGTTATGCAATCCAAGGTTATTTGTGAGGACTCCCTGACTCCAATCACTCACAAGCTGATGTTTCCAATATCTATATTTATGAAAGTACTCAGAATCACTCAAGGACCATACAAAACACAGTATTAATTCATCAACCAAAACACTGAGAGTGAAAAAAATTTTTACATATATCTAAATTGCCATTTTTAAGCAATTCAAGTTCAGCACAGTAACTTCCAAGTTGGGCAGGAAAGAAAGCGTATCTGAGTAGAAAAAGGCAGTAAGTTTAACCTTGAAACAAGGTGACTGTCATATAGTTGTTGAAGGAATTTACTTATTATCAGATAAAGAATTTACAGTATTTATTCCCTCTAGAGATATAAAATGGTGAATCAATCTGCAGTTCAAGATATTTATTTAAACCCAGAGGAGGAGGATATGGCTTTAACTTTTGAAAACCAAAATAGAAATAAAATTAAAAAAAAAATCAGCTGTAATGTAGTTTATCTTTAGACGCCAGATTTAACATTAAACAATTCAAGCTAAATGCTATTTCTCAAGTTCTCCTTTCATATGTTTCTTTAATTTATATAAATATACTGTATGTAAAATAGGGGTTTCAAAAATGTTTATTTAGCAAGAAATGCTTAATGTTATATAGCTATCTACTACAATTTATTTAAATAGATCATCTGTTGACCAATTCATCCGTCCATCCATCCATCCATGTATCCATTTATCCTTCACATTTTTTTCGGCCTACTGATACTAGTTATCCTCTGATTACCCTTGAAAATTCACATGTACTCAGAAAATACATGCACACAAAGAAAAACAATCTCAGACCAAAAAAAATCTTTTCCTGTTGATCATTTCCTTTAAATATTTGGCTAGAGAAGAATATTCTTTTGTTTTTTCTTTTGAGACAGAGTCTTACTCTTGCCTGGTGTTACAGTGCCATGGCATCAGCCTAGCTCATGGCAACCTCAAACTCCTGGGCTCAAGCAATCCTACTGCCTCAGCCTCCGGAGTAGCTGGGATTACAGGCACGCACCACCATGCCCAGCTAATTTTTTCTATTTTTAGTACAGACAGGGTCTCGCTCTTGTTCAGGCTGGTCTCCAACCCCTGAGCTCAAGTGATCCTCCCACCTCAGCCTGCAGAGCACTAGGATTACAGGCATGAGCCACCAAGACTGGCCTAGAGAAGAATATTCTTTGTTTCGTTTAAGTATAATCAAGCCTCATAAGACTTACCTCGCATATCTTGTGAGCTTTCAAATGAAATCCTTCTTTGAGAAATGGCATTTTTTCTGATCTAATTGTTCCCTTGCTTACTCTATCTGGTTCAAAACATCATGAAACAAAATTTATGCTGCCAATATAAAAACAGCATATACACAAATTCACCCAGACAGTGTGAATAGACTAGCAAGTCTAGAACTAACCACACAGTTAGTAAACAGACACACAGAGACTAACAAATAAACAAAATGCTTAATAAATAAAGGATATCGTCATCTTTTCCACAAACTTATCGTGTTGATTTTCTGCTTGGGGGAATTTCTTGATGTCACGTTCCAAATTAACAATTTGTTGTTCCATTGCTGCAAGGTTGCTCTTGAGAATTTGAGCTGAAACTAAAGAACAATGGTGCAAAGGGTTTAGAATATTTTACCAGGTGTTCTACAAAACAACTAAAAGAAAACAATTTCAGTTAAAGCCTTTTTTTTAACGTGGAGAATAGTTACACGAAGTCAACTCGCATTTTTTCTGAATTACTGCTCATAAAAATTATATTCTCCATGAAATAAATGAAAATGTGTAATATAATATACCAAATCATCATGTTTAATATGGGAATGTCACCATTTTACTCAGCCATTAGTTCAAATGAATCCATTTCTATTTAAATTTATTGACGGAATTCCTAATATTTCATTCTTTAAAACGTAATTTGAAGACTAAAGAGAAACTAAGGTTCAAAGAGATCTTATCTTATTAAAGCATGTTCTTGGCTCCATAAATGATTTAAGGTTAAATTATATAAAAGGATCAAATATTTTTCTTTTGTTGAAATATCCTAATTTTATAAACCAACATCTAATGGTTTTGTTCCCATCTTTAGTACTTTTCATACTCACAGAGATGTGAAAAATAACCATTGAAAGAAAATTTAGAGCAAACCTCAGCGAACACATGAGCATATACGCTCCCATAAAGCTTCAGCATGCCCTCAAACATTATCATTAGTTGCTTTAATTATCCCTAACATTTTCTGCACTTTTTTTTTCTAATTGACAACCAATAATTTTAAGTATTATTAATATATTGAAACTGTTCCTAGATACATGCACACTTTCCAGATCTCTCATGACCTCTTTTTTTTATGGGGTATCTTTGTTTTTTTACAACTTGTAACTATTTTACAGATACTCTTCTACTGCATGACCGGCAATTATGTATGAAGACACTTCTATCAATATCAACAGCATTTGCCAGGATTCTAGTTATAAAGAAAAGGTAAGTATTACAACTTCACAGGTAGCCTGTGTCCTTGCTTTTTAAATCCAGGCCTCTGAAACCCTGTTCTTTTTATTAAAGGACCATGAAACACAAACAGAAAAATACCACAATTCTGTTTTTTGTTTTTTTTTTTTTCCTATGTATTTTTAGTTGTCCGATTAATTTCTTTCTATTTTTAGTAGAGACGGGGTCTCGCTCTTGCTCAGGCTGGTCTCGAACTCCTGAGCTCAAACGATCCGCCCGCCTCGGCCTCCCAGAGTGCTAGGATTACAGGCGTGAGCCACCGCGCCCGGCCTGTTTTTTTTTTTTTTTTTAATAAAGTCTGTCTCATTTAGAGACATACCTGTATTACAATGAAAAATTCAACAGACTGGCAAAATCAACCCCCTGGCGAATTTCAGCCAAACTATTCTGATACAAATTTATCATCGAGGAACACACCTTTATAACTCAATGAGGAAAAATAACCTTAAAGGTACGTGGAAATTCAAGAGACTGAAAATCAAACATCAACACTAGAGACGATTTTTTTTCTATTAATCTGTCAGTTTAAATAGCTCTGTCCAATTTAGTTCCATTTGTTTAGATCTGACAAGATTGGAAATTATTCTTTTTTCTTTTCTTTCTTTTTTTTTTTTGAGACAGAGTCTCTCTGTCGCCCTGGCTAGGAAATTATTCTTTATTGGAGAAGTGTAAGAGAGTTTTGTCTTGTCAAAAATTTGCTAGCGGTTCAGAAATCATTGCTTGCTTTATTTAAAGGATGAGTTTGCTGTGGAAGATATCATTCTCTCTGACTTTAAAATTGCCTTTCTTTCACTTAGGTTTTTTCCAGTTTATTCTCCTTACCTATTCAAAAGATTTCTTCTTCCCCTATTTGCTTGACTGAAAAACTGAAGATAAAAAATTGACCAGTTACTTATGTTATTTAGGTACACGGACATGATGGGGTTCAGGACACACTACCCCAAAATACGGTGTCTTGGCATATTTAGTATTTTAAACTGAAGGAATTTTAGAAATGACACCTATAAGGAAGGACTTTCTGATCTTCCCCAAAGCATGTCATAAGAGTGTCATGTGAGAGGTAACCTCCCTATACCCTGAGGAAACCAACATCCTTAACTTCAAAGACAAAGGGGCACAGAGAGAAATCTGAACAAACAAGCCTTGTTAAGTTTACTGCAGTTTATTAATTCAGCTAATACTTTTGCTTCTTCCTATCATAGTTTTCCACAACTCTCCAATCTTCATCAAAACTGCTACAGAAAACACTCAGGTTTAATTGTTTCTTAGGGTCTTCATTTCCTTACGGAAGTTCCCCTCCTGTGTCATGTAAAACTTAAATAAATTTGTGTTCTTTTCTCTTGTTAATCTGCTTTTTGTTACAGGGGCCCCAGCTAATGAAATTAAAAATGGATACAAGGAAGAGTTACTTTTCCTACCCTACAGAAGAAATAAACTCCTGCTAACTTTCTGCAATAAACAAAACGTGTTCAAAGGTCAGGTTTAGGTCACAATGGTAATCCTACCAGTAAAAAAGGGGATGACAGTAATGACTTCATCTTCTGATACTTCAATGCAAAGATAGCCTCATCTAGTTGCTATACACACAACAGTCTAGACATTTCAAATAACAGGAGAGAATATTTTTTAATCCAGTGAAATTGCTTTTACCCTAAAGTTGAATTCTCAATAAATCAATATTTTTCTGAACATCTGTCCTCGCCAATTTTTCATGTCAAATCCTTAGTCCTCTATAAATCCCTCCAGAGCTCCACTCCAAATTCTCTACCATTTTATATGCACTTTTTGTTTGTTCAAGTGATCTCCCACATAGCACATTCTGCTTTGAATTCGATTTTTCTTTTTGTCTCAAGTACATAAACACACAGTCTCCTTTATAAAACCTCAAGCTACTTAATGGTAAGATCCATATCTAATTCTCTGCTTTTCCCTCAGTACTTATCACTGTGCTTTACACATGGTACTCAATGAATGTTTATTGAATGAGTATGTATATTTCAAGAAGTTTCAAATTTAAATTTATATTCACTTCTGCAACTGCAAGTGCAGGTAGAGGTTAGCTATAATCACAATGATTCAAAGTTACTATATGAATTATTACATGAGTATAGAAAGGAAGAAGGAAGTTGAAATCTGTCTAACAATATTATATAGAGGAGGAAGGGTCATGGGAGATGCTTAGACAAATAGGAAAGTTAGGAAACGGGATAAGGAAGAGAAATAAAGGGCACCTTTCCTTATTAGGCTCTTCCACTCTTCCTCTCTAATAAATTATTAATATTATGCCTGAACAAAAGAGAATAAAATATTGGAGATGTAATAATCCAGGAATTAACACCTTAGACGAAAATTTATGGCTGCATTAAGCAAACAATCCCATTATATAAAGTGTTCATCCTTACATTACAGAAATTATGTTATCTTTGAGTTAGAAGTGACATTAAAAGAGATTTGGCCCAGGCTCTCAAATTTGAAAAATTCAGATTACACAGTGTCACGGTCTAAATCCCTGGAAAACATAGCCTAAGATAGAGCTTGCTTGTCAAGGTCTTACTGGGGTAGGTCTTACTGAGGTTAGGATGTAATCCCAGAGACATAGGAATGAGGGAAAAGGGAAGAAAGCAAATACAAAAGGGTAAATTATGAAACTTGTCACAGCTTTACAAAAAACACAGCTGGTTGCTTAATGTGTCTGATTGTCTCCATCAAGGCTGACTTCATGGACATACGGCCTGTACAGTTGCACAGCGCCTCATCCTTAGAAGGGCCCTGCACTTTGTTTAATGCTTTGTTGCTGTTGTTTTAAAATTCTTAATAATTTTTGCAGTGAAGTCCCACATTTTCATTTTATACTGGGCCCCACAAATTATAATCTCAGCCATACCAATTATTAATTGGGTTTTCTTGAGCCAGTGACTTAGCCTCTCTGGGCCTTCATTTCCTGATTTGCAAAATGAAGACAATAATACCTTCCTTAAAGGGTAGTAATTTAAATTATTTGATAATTATAAAGCACTTATCATTATACTGGTACATAATAGGTAATCTACAAATATTCATTTCATATTTCACTATCCTCCCCCCATGCCCTACCTTCCAACATAAAAATTCCTACTATAAATATGCTACCAAGAATTAAACAACAATTTAGATACAATCTAAGGGGAAAAAAAAAAAAAGCAGACATTCCAGACCTGCTACCCTCACTATGGCCTGATTTAATTTAATGCTGGTCGTCTTTCTAATCAAGAGAAATAAACTTAGATTGCGTTTTTTGTTTTTAGGTTTTACAGGGTACATGAAATTTTAGGTCTGGGAACCAGCAACAATTACACTAATGAACGGTCAATTTGTTAGAGATATTAGGAAGTTCCAAATTTAAAGAATATTTCTGGAAATTAAAATCTGTGTAATAGTCTGGATTTTTCTGGAAACATTTAAAAGTTACTTATTTTGGCTTTCTAGACTTGTCTAAAGGACAACAGACTCCCAAAAAAGCGTTAGAAAAGAATTAATATGTGTTTACCTGCCTGATTACTTGCCTTTAATACATTTACTTCAATCTTAAGAGTTGAGAGTCAATTAATATTATGATTATTTACCTTTTTAGTGTTAGCCTACATTAATTCTAGTATTTCTAAGGGGTATATGTGTGTGTGTGTGTGTGTGTGTGTGTG